AGAAGATATCTCCTTGGCGTGAACGCTTTCGATCCGGTTGGTCAGATCAGCTGTCTTTTCCTGATACGATCTAATATCGGATTCGGCCTGCGCGGTCAATTTCTCGTGACGCTTCTGCGACATTTCCAACAGACGTTCGAGGCCTTTCGTCTCGGTGGAAAGTTTTATCAATTCCGTTCTCGCGATCAACAGTTCATTATCTCGCACGTTCAACTTTGTCTGAAGATCGTCGATGACTTGCTGGGCCGATTCGAATTGCCGCTGGCCGTCTTCGATTCTGGCGGTTAGAGCGTCGAATCCGACTCGAACGTTATCGTCCGAAATGCTATCTTCGTTTTCGGTTGCGCTTTTGTATGCTCTCTCGCTCAATTCTTTTATGTTTTCTCTGACCTTTTTCAGTTCCTCTGACATCACGCTCACCTTCACGTCGTTTTGGCGCAAGCTTTCCTTCTTAGCACTCAGTTCAGCTTCCAGTTGCTTGATCGTAGCCTGCGCATCCGACTGTTCCTTCATTCTGTCTTCTAATTCCGACATTCGTGACCCGTGAAATTCCGTCTTGGCTCGCTCGGCGGCGGACTTTGCCTCTGCCAATTCCTCCTGCGTCCGTTTCAGATTATTTTTGGCACCGGCCAAGATCATATCCTTTCGTTCGTTTTCCCGAGCCGATTCTGAATTTCTTGTTTCCAAATTCCGTTTCATTTCGGCCATCTCTTCCCTTTCTTTTTCCAAAGTCTCGATTGCTTTCCGTTCCCGCTCTTCGGCCTTAACCTTTTCCCTTTGCATGCTCTCCACTTGTTTCACCAGAGACTCGGTTTCAATTTCGCGTTCTCCTCTGGTTGTTGTTGTTGTTGTCCTCCTCCTCCTCTTCCTCCTCCTCCTCCGGGAGTTGGTACATTAAACACCCACCGAGATTCTTCGCTGTCATCGAACAAGTCGTATGCTGGACTTTCCGGTTCTTCTGGCGCTTGGAACTCTGGCGTATTTAGAAAGCTATCGATTACTGTTGTCACATGTACATCCTCCGTCTCGTCCACAACCGTTCTGTCATCATCGTCTTCGTAGTTTTCCCCTTCCTCCTTTTCCTCCTCCTCCACATCCCCCTTGCTTCAACCATCATGTTATCGATTGCCTCGGAATCGACACCGTGTCGTTTCTCGTCGCCGCTCTAACTGGTGTTCGGGCTCCCTCCTCCTCCTCCTCCTCCTCCTCCTCCTCCTCGTCTTCATCGATCTCGATCACTTCCGGTCTCTGGGAAGCCTCGAGATTTCTCAATTGAGCGTAGCTGGCAT